AGCATCTAGACAGCCACAAGGGTTTCGAAAAAGCAAGCCGCTTTTTCGAAAGACTGCACCCAAGCAATCTGGAGACACTCTTGCAAAAGCCCTGTTTGTGGTAAAAAACGCCTCTTTTTGAAAGAGCTCTTTCAAAAAAAAAGGCATTCTTCCTGGTAAAAGTAGGTTTACCGATTTTGAAAAAAACCACCGCGTTTTTTAGATTTAATTTTGAAAGAACGTGATGGCAGTCTAGATGTAGGTGATTTTTTTTTTTTTAAAAAAGAGGCCACTTTTTTCGAAAAAAACTCTATGCATACCCTAGATGACCTAACAAAAAGTATAGACAAAAAGTACTTGGGATTTTAATAGAAGAGCTGTAATCCTGACCCAGTTGTTTTCAACAAAAACTTTGACTTCAGTGGGGCCAAGATTTCTCCCAGCTCAGGGTGCTGAAAATCAACCACTAGTGGGAGACTCCAGAAATGTTTTAGTATAAACGAGTACAATGCAAGGTTAAAAACTACAGCTTTTAACCCTGGGCATCCTTTAATTTTCATGTATTTGCTGGGTGCTTTGTGCTGTTGGAAGAACATTCTTTGAAAGAAAATTGAGGGAAATTGAGTATAAATGAGTACCAAAAACGTTAACAGCTACATGATGTCCCTTCAGTTTCTTCTCCCTGTCATCCTGTAGTTAGATTTTGAAAAAAAAATCCATTCAATTTAAGCAGGATTTCCTTAAAAAAGCACAAGGATGACTTCTCTCCAATGAAATCGCAACGTTTCATGAGTAATTAGCATGGCTGTTGCCTTCACTGCCATTCCAGTCAAGCTTGGAGAAGTGTACGGTGGGGTCCTGTTGCCAGGAGCCACTGATAAACTTTTATAGGGTGGCTAGTGAGATAACTTGGAAGGCTTATTTTCACTTTGGATGTCTTTTAAATAACTAACTGAATGCAGTGTGTGGTTCAAGCAAGGAAGGAGAGACAGAGCTTGTGGATTCTGTTCCTGGCTCTGGGAGGGGCATGCTCCCTAAAGATCGGGAATGTCAACTTTCTATTTGTTTCCAACATGGCCACCTCCTCGCATTTTAGAATCATAGAGCTGGAAGAGACCTCAGGAGCTCAAGTCCAGCCCCCTGCCCAAGGCAGGACCAATCCCAACTTGACCATGGTCATATGGGAATATTTGTGCCTCTCTTTCCCCGCCGTCACAGAAGGGTGGCCTGTTTAGGATTAGCAGAGTACTTTGCGATCCACAGGTGAAAGGGGCTAGAAAAATGCCTGGTGCCATATGCTGCATCATTCATATTATCCTCAAGTCTCAAAGGAGGGTGGCTCTGCTGTTTCACGGTGTGTTCATCACTGCTCCTCTTGTTCTGATGGCGCTACCCAGCTTGTTTTCCTGAGAGGTTGGAGTCCTGGCTCTGACACCCATGGCCGACTCTTAGCGCTACAGTGGCCTGCTCTCTGAGCTCCTGTCCTTGCAGTGGCTGATGTGGCTTCACTTTTTCAGACACTGGCTTTCTCGGACCCCCCCCCCTGCCAGCACACTCCCTTACGGATGCCGAGCCAGCCCTGTCTGAGGCCTGGCAGAGAAACCTGCTGCTTTGTGACCATTTCGATTGTCTCTACCCAGCCATCTGGACCAGGAATCAGAACAGATTTGTGGCTTTGGCACGGGCATGCGCTAGTATACTACCCCACCCTGCATGTTAACTTTTTAACAGGCAGCTGCAGTGGCCTTTTTGCCCAAGAAGGCTTGCCTGACACTACTTGCCTTGCAACGGTCTTCCTGCCGAGTTCATTTCTGGCACATACCGTAAGCAAAATGTGCTTTTCATTGTTTAAGGGCAATGCACATTCCGTGGTTACCTTGCACATCTTGCTGCTGCTAATGAATTGCTAATACAATTTTCTAGATAATTTTATTTCCATAGTCCCCACATTTTAATGTGTCTCCAAAAAGGTAGCGTTTATTGGCTTAATCTCCCGGCACAATACAATTTGCACTGACTCATAGGTTCAGAACAATCAGCTATGCATAAACTAAAACAAATTGTTTAATAACACAAAAGTCTTTTTTATTGGCAGTCTGTAAATATCTGGGTGGTTTTTTTCATTTCTGCTCTTCTCTTGATGCAGCCGACTTTATAATTGTCTGTGGTTCATAGGATTGAGTTTCTGTTTGTATTTCTCTTAAGCGTCCCAAGCAATACAGAGGGTTGTCAGTGTTAGTCTCTTCCAGTGATCAGCAACCAGTCGATTGGGATCTACTGGTGGATCTTGGAGTCTTTGGCAGGTGATCTTGACAGATTTGGCCAGGAAGCTTTCAAGTGCCAGCGCTTCACCTGCCCCGCTCAGCACTGCGACGCTGCTCCTGCCCTCTGTCTTGGAGCTGCCCCCCACCCCCACCTGCAGTAGCCTCTTTCTTGCTGCACAGTGCACAGGATGAAGAGGGGGGTGCTGATGTCAGGGCGCCCCTCCCTTCACCTGTGCCCCATCTCCACAGAGCAGAAGGGCAGCGATGGAGAGAGTTTGCTGGCTACTTTGGGAGGAGGAGTGAGCCTGCCTTGGTCCCCTGCACCACCACCCAAAAGCTACCTGTGGTAAGCAGTGCCCAGCTGGAGCCTGCATTCCGAACCCTGGCCCCAGTCCTGAACCCCTCCTGCTCCATGCCCTCCCCATGGGTCCCCCGGCACTCAAACTCCCTCCCAGAGCCAGCACCCTGAACCCCTTGCTGCTCAACTACCGCAGCTCAGAACCCCTCCCCCACTCCAGATCCTTTCGCTCAGGATCAGAGTCCTCATCCCCCTACCCTGCCCCTCACCCCTCTGCCCCCAGCCTGGTAACAGTGAGTGAGGATGAGGAAGGGCGGGAGGATGGAGTGAGCAGGGGCGGGGCCTTGGAGAAGGGGGCGGGATGGAGGCGGGGCCAGGGTGTTTGGGTTTGAGGTGGATCCTGGATTGCACTTAAATTCAAAAAGTGATCTCCTGCTTAAAAAAGGTTGGAGACCCCTGTTCTATTCTAGTCAACGCTTTAGCATCTGGGGCAAAATTCTGAGCCGTTTTCATTTACAGTGTGTGCCTAGAACTCACATCAGGGCTTAAAAGGGCAGAGATGCTCAGCGCCTTGGGAGAACTTCCTGTTTAGATGTCACAGGTGTATAGGCTACGTGTTTCAAGCATGAAGGTTTGCAGAAAATTATTAAAAACAGCTACTTTGTAGTTGCGGGGGAAAGGAGGCATCAGATGAGGGAGACTGCAGAGCCTATTGGTACAGAGCCAGGCTCTAGATGGAAATCTTTCTGGCTGTATCCAGCGCACCATAAGCCCCTGAACTAGTTGCACCGTTCCTGGAGCCTACATCTGTTCTACGTGAGGTATGGCCCAATGGATGGAGCAGGAATCTACTTCTGACTCTGCTGCTGACGTGACCATGGGTGTGTCACTTACCCGCTCTCTTCCATCTAGAGCACGAGGACAGTGACACCAGCTTGCCCTGTGAAAATCACCATTCACAGCACTGGCTGCCTGTATCATCCAGAAGAGACAGGTCCATAAAAAGGGTTCTGGAGAACATTCCAAGACCTGTTTCATCCACTCAAGAGGGAAGAGTCCATGTCCTCATCTTCTGGCCACCCCTTCCACTTACCGGTACTGCCCCACCTGCCTTTCAGTTAGCTGCATTTCATCCAGCTACTTTTCCTGCATAGCACGTGCGGCTCTCGTAGGATTCTTTCGGAGGAAGTGTTTTTATCTTCATGTAAAGATTATAGCGTGATTAGTGTCAGATAAAGATGAACCAAAAGCACTTTTCTGTCTTGGTCCATGATCACCAATGAGGCACTTTCAGAATAGCAAAGTGCTTCTTCTATTTTCCCCCCGCCAAAAAAATTGCTTCTTGCCCTCCATATTCCAGATGCACATTACCAAGTTATTTTCTTCCCATTTAAACGGATTCAATTTGAAAGCCATCGTATATACATTCATAACCTTTATTTTTTAATTTGCTTCTCAGCCAGTTTAATCAGGTAGGGTTACTGTGATAATCTAGTCTGGATACTGCATTTGATAGCTTTCATGGAGTTGCTGCACTGTGTAGAGCACTTTGGTATCTGCCTAGATGGGAACGTGTTGAAGTCTTCCTTTGTTTTAGGCCAGGCTGCTGTAGAAAGAGAATGGAAATGCGGCCTTGTATTGTTTCCTAGCAAAGGAAATTCATTGACATTGTTTTTGCCATGTGTTACGAGTTTCCAGTGCCTGGTAGGACTGTAGATGTCATGTTTCCACTGAGTCTGTGTTGGGAGCATAAAAATAGTGAGTTTCAAATCGACCTTTAAACGGCTCTGTGTGTTTGGAGAAGGCATTGGGCTGCGATGAGGAATGGGTGTGTAGCAGTGTTCCCTGTAAGCTGCTTGTACAGCCACCCAGCTGATTAGCAGAGCACCCATAGCTAGGGGTTATTTTTTTGTTTGTTTGTTTCAACTGGTGGTGCACATTCGCACATGCCTTGGTGCACATGAAAATATTATTCTGCGCATGGGTGGAAAGATTAGAGGGAACACTGGTGAGCCGTGATTCCCATTTGACAGAACGGGAGCGACACCCCAGTTTTTTGTCAGTCCACTTGAGCCATTTCATCTACTCCCCCGCAGCAGGGGAAATGCACGGAGACTGTTTTGGCTGTCGAGAGGTTACGCGCTAACGTGCCACATGACAGGCAAGCGCTGCAGGAAGCACTGGTCTTTGGGGAGCCATGCCAGTGACTCCTCTCGGGTTGAGCTTTGGAGCTGGCACGCTCTCGCCAGTCTGTGTCCAGTCTGTCCTCTCCTGGGACCGTGTCCTTGGATTGTGCGGGTTGCCTGGACCAGGCAGCTGCAAAGAAGAAGGAATGGCCAAATTGCATCGGCGTCGTGGCCCAACCAGCGCAGCGTCCCGTCTCCGGAAGGGGCAGTCGCGCGGGCAGGGGGAATCTGCTGGCACGGTTGCTGATGAGAATTTCTCCCTTCCTCCCCCAGGGACTGACATGGCCGTCTTCTGCTTGCTGTGCGGGAAGCGGTTCCAGACCCAGACTGCCCTGCAGCAGCACATGGAAGTGCACGCAGGAGTGCGCAGCTACATCTGCAGCGAGTGCAACCGCACCTTCCCCAGCCATACGGCCCTCAAGCGGCACCTGCGTTCACATACAGGTAAACCGTGGCAGGCACTAGCTGCCCTGGGACGCTCCCGGAGGTGGATGCCGGCCCCTGCGAGGGTTGTAGGGGGAAGGGTTTCATGCAATCTGTGGGATTTAAGATGAGCCATTGCGTAGGGAATGGTGGATGCTACAGGATTGTTCCCTAAAGTGCATCCCCATTTCGTTCTCTAGTGTAGACCTACCTGTGTGCAAGGATGAAGCTTCTGTTTCTTCCCTTGATGGGACTGTTCCCTCGCCTAACAAAACTCTCAGGGTGGTTTTTTTGGCTGCTCTTTAGCATCACCTTTCCCAATTTCCTCCCCTAAGTAAGTTAGCGTCGTTGCTGGGCAGCCAGTGTTAGATGGTCCCTGAAGATGTCAGTCAGGAATCGGCATCCAGGCATGCTCAAGACTGCTCGCACTCTTCCTAAAAGCTAATCCCTGCCCCAGAGACCCGTGGGGCAGGTCTACACTTGGGTGGACCCCTCTGTGTTACTCGGGGCTGTGAAAAACTTCACAACCTCTTTGACCTCCCTTCACCGAACTCCCAGTGCAGAGGTAGCTAGGTCAGCAGAAGAATCCTTCTGTCAGCCCATCACCTCTGAGAGATGGTTTAACGACACCAGTGGCAAAGTCCCTCCTGTCAATTAGGGGTATGAAAGGTTAACTGGTTAACCGGTGAGCATCACCTTTAATGGGCGATGATTACTGGTTCCGGTTAACCAGTGGGGGCTGAAGCAGCTCCCTGCCTGCCAGAGGTAGGAAGCGAATCCTGCCCCCTCCACCTGTCATCTGGGTACCATCTGCCTGGAGCAGCCCCCATCACAACACGCCTGGGCCCACCACAGAGAGGGCCGGGCTGGAACAGCTCCTCGCCCTCTTTACTCACTCAACCGGTTAAACATCATGTTTTAACCAGTTAACCAATGAAATGGGACTTTACATCCTTGCAGGCAATGCAAGAGGTATCTACGCTGTTGCGTGGTAGCGGCACAGCCTCGGCTCTGTAGCTGAACTGCTGTAGCATGAACAGACTCTAGGTTACAGCAAGAGGATGCCACAAACAAATTGGAGGGAGAAGAAAGAAGCTTAGAGCAAGACAAGAGCAAAACGATCCTAGCTGGGTTCATGCAGCGCTGGGCGAGGCTCTCACTGTATTTTACTGCCTTTGGGTATGTCTACACTAGCCCCCTAGTTCGAACTAGGGAGGGTAATGTAGGCATTCGAAGTTGCAAATCAAGCCCAGGATTTAAATATCCCACGCTTGATTTGCATCTTCCCATCCGGTCGCCATTTTTAAATTCCACTAGTCTGAAGTAACTGCCTGCAGCTACATGCAGCAGTGCAACGGCAATTTGAACTAAGTCCTTAGTTCAAATTAGAGTATTCCATGAGAAGTAACAGTTAATTCGCACGAACGACCTGTTAAACCTCATTCCACAAGGAATAACAGGTAGTTCGAACTAGGGCTTTAATTCGAACTACCGGGTCCCTGCCGCGTGTAGATGCGGGCAGTTAGTCCGGACTTGTAAATTTCAAAAATGGCAACTGAATGGGAAGATGCAAATCAAATGCGGGATATTTAAATCCCAGGCTTGATTTGCAACTTCGAATGCCACCTACATTAGCCTCCCTAGTTCGAACTAGGGGGCTAGTGTAGACAGACCCTTTGATACTAGTGGATGCAGGCATTCCAGGGCTTGGTGGGTTCGGCTTGTGACTAGGAAAAGGAAAGTCTAAGGAAGGATTCCTCGTGAGATTTAGCGATACAGAGAAATGGTGGGGCAGTTGGAGGGGGGATGTTTCTGTTTTGATTTCTTTGAGATATAAATTCAAGGCAACGCTGCTCCGCAGCAGAACTCACCTGGGCTCTTTAAGCAGTGTGCAGGAAGTTGGCTATCTTGTGTAACGTGCCACGTGACCTTATTAGCAGGGGTGTGAATGTCCCGCATCGACTTACAGCACTAGATGCACATAATCGGCCTGGTACCCTGCCTTAATGGGATTATAGTGACCTCTGCTATGTGTACGTGGCATTTAAACGGCACCGGGAAATGTTCCAGCCGAGTTTGGATTGGTGGGAAGAACAGTGGGACAAACTGCTGATGTGACTGGGCTGTGTGGTGGATTCAGAGTCCGAGACCCCAACGTGCAGAACAGATGCCTCTTTGAATGCTAGAAGATCATGCACCGTACCTGCCGCTGCTGCTTCTACTTTTATAAGCCGCTTGCTAGACTCCACTAGGCAAATTCTCCTGCCCAGAGCTGGTAAAAAGGGGATATAAAACAGGAGGGCTGCCTGTGGTAGCATCTATGGAGAGACAGAGGGATCCGATTTCAAACCTGAGCGCTCAAGAAAGGGCATCCCTGTTACAGCTAAGCATCCCCGAAGGCACTTGAGTACCTAGAACACGTGTTTCGGCCCTTGCATCCTGACAGCGGTACCTTAAGTTTGTCCCAACTTTGAAAACTCCCAGGATGTGAGAACGGTAAGGGCAGTAATTTGTAAAGCCTGCATCTACAGATGAAAAGCGACTCCCCTTCAAGAAGGGGATACTTACTTATCCCTAACCTTCAAAGTAGAGTTAAAAGGCCGAGATCCTCAAAACTTATTGGAGGTTTGGCTCCCCAGCTTGAGACGCTGTAAAAGGGGCCTGTTTTCCAGAATCTGTTGAGTCATCCAGCCGCTGAAAATCAGGAGTCTATAGGCTGTGTCCAGTCAGGCACCCAAAATCGCTTGTCACTCTGGAAGACCCAAACATAGTGTCGTCCATGGAAGTTCTTCAGCAAATAGACAATTTGAGGGCCATTGTTCAGGTTCCTCTTTAGTCGTTAGCCTGTTACAGGCTGACACGCTCTGGCTGTTGGGCAAATACAGGGCTATCTATTCGGTTGCGTGGGCTGGGTCTGCTGGACCCAACTGGAATCACATGATTCCTAGACCCCTTGGCCATCATGCTGTGTCTTATCCAGCCCTAGTTCTCAACCTTAATTTAATGGAGGCGGCGTGTAAGTGGGGTGGGCTTGGTGGGGTGGACTCGTTGTTTACAAAATAAACCTAATGCAGTTAAGTTAGACCTAAACTCCAAGACTGCCTAGACTGGCAAGTTTTTCTGCAAAATCATCTGATTTTGTGGAAAAACTTGCCAGCTGTCTACACTGGCCGCTTGAATTTCCGCAAGAACACTGACGATCTCATGTAAGATCGTCAGTGTTCTTGCAGAAATACTATGCTGCTCCCGTTCGGGCAAAAGCCCTCTTGCGCAAATCATTTGCGCAAGAGGGCCAGTGTAAACAGCATAGTACTGTTTTCCTCAAAAAAGCCCCGATCGCGAAAATGGCGATCGGGGCTTTTTTGCGGAAAAGCGCGTCTAGATTGGCCATGGACGCTTTTCTGCACAAAGTGCTTTTGCGGAAAAGCATCCTGCCGATCTAGACGTGCTTTTTCGAAAATGCTTTTAACGGAAAAGTTTTCCGTTAAAAGCATTTTCGGAAAATCATGCCAGTGTAGACATAGCCCAAGTGCAGAGGAGGGCTGACACACCCCAGCACCAGAGTCAGCCTGAAAACTGTTGGCCGCTGTGAAATTCAAAGTCAACACAGTTATGGGCCCAGGAAGGAAGAGAAATTCTGAGCATCAGCAACTGCTCCCTGACTATTCTAGATTCCCTGGGTATGGCTACTCTGCAGTAAACAGCTGACGTGGCTCTCAGTCTGTGCGGTATAAAATCGCCGTGTAAGCGTTTGGGCTCTGGGACCCTTCCCCTTCAAAGTGTCATAGAATCATAGAACTGGAAGAGACCTCAGAAGGTCATCAAGTCCAGCCCCCTGCTCTAGGCAGGACCAATTCCAACTAGGTCCTTGCTGACCTTTTGGTTAGGACAAATCAAGGATGTAAGAAATCTCATTTGGGTCTTCCTGAGTTCAGGTGCCCCCGGAGATGCATTCATTTCGGGTAAGGGACAGTCACTGTGAAGACCCCTCTGAAAACGGCCTCTTTTGCCATTAGGAAAGCTTGACATAAAAGCTACATCTTCACGGCAAGGTTGTTGTACAAAAATGGCCGTTTTTGTGCAGAAACCTGCAGTGTCCACACCTCAAATGCACTTTTGCACAAGTAAATCATCAGTAAAACGGCAGAACAGAGGGCTTTTGCTGGTGTAGGTAAACCTCCTTCTACGAGGCATAACCCCTTTCGTACTACAGCTACTGTGCAAAAAGGCAAGAGTGGATGCTCCAGAAGGAAAAAGCACAGGTGCTCTGATGGCCATTCTGTGAATGGCCATCAGAGCTTTCTTGTGCAAAAGCGTCCATGCAGTGTGGACGCTCTCACGCAAAAGCACATCGCTTTTGCAATGCGCTTTGAGGTGTGGACGTGCTCTTGTGCAAGACGTTTTTGTGCAAAAACTCTTGCGCAAAAAGCTTCTTGTGCAAGAAGCCTTCAGTGTAGACATAGCCAAAGGGTTTTGGTCACATTTAAATGGAATAAGGGATGAATAAATGATGGTTAATAGATGATATACCCATGCTAGATCTTGGCATAGCCTATAGATGGTTAAAGCGTATTAATAAAAAGTGTTTAGAGGGTTATAAAATGTGGGTATAACAAGCCATCCGCTGACTTGTTGGATTCTCTCTCAATCTATAATTGCTTATCCATTAATTGAAATGACTATTAATCATTTATTAGCCTCGTCAATGCTTAAATTGTACTTCTAATGTACAACGTGGTCATTTTTTCTAAATAGGAGTGCGTTCGCACATCTTTTTCAAGGTTAAAGAAGATCCAACAGCAGCATTCCAGTCTTAGGGCACTTTACCCATTGCCACCACAACGTTGAGTACTGGGGAAAATCCACGCAATGGTTTGGAGCCTCCAGGCGATACACAGATGGCTGTGACACAGAATCACAGGACCGTGGAGTGCCCACTCTAAATTCAACCAAACCTAATAGATTCAGCCCTTACTATATCTAGCAGCATTTCTCTCCATTCAGGGAAACAATTTTTCAAGGACTAATCCTCTACTGATAAGGGAGAATAGGGCTAGATGATGGAGAGAGAATGGTGCGGTTTTTTGGTTGACTCTGGGTGGGGATTCGGAAGGTCTGCATTCCATTACTAGTTCCTCCACAGGCTTCCCAGGTGATCTTATGCCAGCAACTTAATCTCTCAGGACCTCTGCCCTCTTCCTGTTAAATGGGGATAATTAACACACACAGCCTCCTACTCTTTGTCTCAGGTACTTAGAATCAACACTTTGGCACGAGGGCTCTCTCTTGCAATACATATGTATGGCACTTGGCCAACAGGTTGCAAGCCTGGTGTTTAATACTAGTGTGATGACGCAGCAGGCCTTTTGCATCTGCTACATCTCTTATTAAAAACCTTTTTTACAATATTTTCCAGAGGCAGTGTGAATTATCTCAGGGTCTTTTGCCATTTTCCTTCCTTTTTCTCGTCTCTTGTGAACATCAGGAAACCAAACTACTTTTCCCTTCAAAAACATCCCTATAATCGCCCTTCATCACCCGAGATGGAAAAGGTGAAGCAAAATCCATAGCTGGTACCAAGTAGCATCATTCCATCAACTTCCAATTTTGCCAGCTGAGGGTCTGGCCAGAAGGTTTTTTGCCTTTGAATCAGACCTCTGAGCCCTGGTCTACACTAGGGAGTTATTTCAAAATCATCCCCTTTATTTCGAAATAATAAGTGGAGTGCCCCACTTTGAAATCACGGGCTGGTTATTTCGAAATCTGTTCTCCTGCTTTCCTCAGGGAATAACGCTTATTTCAAAATTGTTATTCCAGGAGTTGTTGTTTTGAAGTTAGTTCTTTCAAAATAATTTCCTAGTGTAGACATGCCCTTATTTACTAAAGATGCGCAAAAAATACATTATTTAATACTTGGATTTTCATAAACCCTGGTGCATGGTCTTGGGTGGACTCTCTCTCTCTCTCTCTCTCGCTCGCACTCTCTCGCATGCGTATGTACACACACACACACACACACACACACACACACACACACACACACACACACACACACACACACACACACAGTGCTTCACTTCATTAATATTCCGTTGTTCCCAGCCCGTTTGCCACCAATGCTACATGTTTAGCATCAGCAGCTGTGTTTGGTAGTGCAGGCCAGCAGAGTCCTTGGCAGTGATGGATCCCTGATTTACACGGCTGATCATATAATAAACTCTCAGCTGTGTAGAAAAGGCATTTTATAGCCCTGCGATTGGTTGTTCAGTAGACTAACAAATACGCCAGGTAACGATATAAAACCAGGGTCACAGGTGCAGAAAGCTGGCCAGAGGGGGCTTTAATTAGTCCCGTTTGTCCTGCACTTAATGTCAAGCTCATTAAGGGGCCCTACAAAGTTAATCAACATGCCACAAATTAGATTTTTTTTTTAAGTTCTGCTTCCAGTTCTGTGCATGCTGCAAGGCTGTGGGTCTGACTGGGATTACAGGCCAGGTGCTGCATATTTCTCTTGGTTCTTTTATTTGGTCCGACTCTCAAGATTCTGTATTTAAACTCCTTTAACATGTGATTGGGTTGATAATGAAATTCACTAAGATTCTGTCAAACTAGTTCCTGAGTTTAACACTTCATTTAAAACAGCAGGGCGGGGGGGGGTAAATCCCTACTCAGACTAGAGGCTGGGTCTTAACGTGAATTATTCACCCGGTTTCCATTCACACATTCTTCTAAAAATTAATTTAATAAATGCAAATTCTGGGATTCCTTAGATGGGGCCTGGCCAGATACTCCAGTCTCTTTCATTTTCAAGCAAGGCACTGAATAGAATTTTGAAACAGTAATTCTGAAATGTAAATACCTCCGTGCGTCCCACGTCTGTCAGACAACATTAAATAGATCAGATGCTCAGCTGATGTAAATCAGCAAATTATGCCTGTTTCCACCAACTGGCTGCATGTTTTCAGAGCAAAGACCCATTTTCCTATCCACAGAATTCACCCTTTTTTTCCCCCCACCATTCCCATGTATATTACTAGATAGATGCATATATGGAAGATAGATGCATATATGGAACCCATCACCCTAGTGTCGGTGCATCTGGAGATCGTCGTCATAGTGAAACATATTGAGTCTGGTTTAGAAATTCAAGAATTGTCAGATCCTTTGTAGATGGACTGACTTGGCATGCTGATGCCAGTGAGCATTGTGGCCCAAATCATAACGAAGAGTAAATCCTGCTTGATTCATTGCAGCAACTCCCATTTATACCAGATTGGGCTCAGCTTCTGTGTACAAATGAACATTTAAAAAGCATTCAGAGAGGGAAACCTCCCTTTTTTGCCACAGGGGAATTTGCCATCCGTGCCTCAGAGCCATCTCCTGAGCCGTGTGTATGCAGTGGTTTTTAAGGATCAAATGCATTTAAACCCTGTGATCTCTCTGCTAGTCTCCTGCAATCAGAAAATAATGTGAGAGATCAGAGTTATTATACACAATGCTTTTACAAAAAAAGCCAGTTAGTGCTGCCTGAAAGATTTGGAAACTCTAATGTAAAATTGGAATTTATGTGATGAAGGTCTTAATTCGGGAGGGTCTAAAGCGAAAAGAGAGTGAAATATCATTTTAAAGAGGAAGTGAAAGCACAACCATCTGAGTATATAACTAGAAGGACAATTTATGCCCAAGCACGAGTGCAGTTTGACATGGGGATAATGAAAAAACGTAGGTCATTGTGGATGACTTAAGCCTTCAGCAGCTGAAGAAAATGTATGAAATGCGAGGAACATTACACGCTTGGCAGCCCTGCACATCTGCAGTAGGACAAGTGAAATACAGTTGGCCATTCTTTACCATAAACTGTGGTTGTAGGATATGCAGCACAGAGAAATTGTAATTACAGTGACAAGACAAATCAGGGATATTTAAATATTCATGAACAAAGTCTGGGGCAATCAATCTATCTTTATTGTCCTTGCCTTCACTTCTGTAATAAATAAGTAGCTGGAGCCCTCACCTTTCATTCAAATAATTCTGAGTTTCGTGCGACACTGAAGTTCATTTATCAGCCACCCAGTCTGGAGTATTTAAACACCTCTCCAGCTCCCGGGGTTCTTGGGCCCGGGGTGGCATCGCAGAATAGATCTGGAGACCGAGGTGGACGTGGTTTGTGTTTGCTCCCCGATACATACGTGTCTGGTGCTCTCTCTGGCAGACAAATGAAAGGGAAGGGCAGGCGGCTTTCAGTCCCCTTTCTCCATTGCTGGCATTCTCATGCCTCAGAGCAGCCTGCTGAGGGAGGGATGGGTGGGTGGGTGAGTGGGGTCTCCAATTTGCTTCCCCCTCTCTGCTCATGGGGCACAGTGCCCGAGGAAGTAGCTGGCAGAGCAGTCGCCTGCTTGTCTGTGATGGAGAGCCTTTGCTTTCTCTGCCATGGTGCTGTTCCTTTGAGCCAGTCAGAGGCGGCTCGCTCTGCCAAGCGTCCCTCCTCTGCCTGCCGCCCCGAGGTGGTGAAGCCTGTCACCTCGTTCGCACCTCCCCCACCCAGTCAGCAACGCTGAGGCCAATTTGCTTCCCCCTCTCTGCTCATGGGGCACAGTGCCCGAGGAAGTAGCTGGCAGAGCAGTCGCCTGCTTGTCTGTGATGGAGAGCCTTTGCTTTCTCTGCCATGGTGCTGTTCCTTTGAGCCAGTCAGAGGCGGCTCGCTCTGCCAAGCGTCCCTCCTCTGCCTGCCGCCCCGAGGTGGTGAAGCCTGTCACCTCGTTCGCACCTCCCCAACCCAGTCAGCAAGGCTGAGGGTCTCCTGTGCGCACAGGGCAGCGGGCGGCTCGGCCGGCGTTCTGGCATCTGCGTTTTACAGGCTGTTTCCGGGGGTGGAGGAAGGCGAGGGACAGACATGGGGATGGGTGGAGAGGAGTTAGGGAGGAATCCTGCTGTACTAGACAGCCCTTTGGTCTGCTCCCTGGAACTGGTCCATCTGACCCAGTCCTCTTCTGCCCCCTAAACCCACAGTACCTTGAAGGAATCCGTCAGCCACAGCAGGGGCAGTAAATTCCTAGTAAATCCTAACAAACAAGCAGGAGTCATCGAATCATGGCTATTGTGGGATTAACAGCTGGATCTTACCACTACTCCCCTCTTCCTCACACCTCTCCCAGCACGGACTCTCTCTCCCTGATCCCCATGGGGACCTTTGGATGGTGGTGATATTCTGGTTGGTATGACTGTAGGGCGAAGGAGACCGTGTTACACATCAGAAGCCAGGTACTGAACAAACCGAATAAAAAGACAGTCCAAAGTGAAGCCTCGTAATGGCACCATACTGCAGGAGGTGGCATTGGAGATTCCTTAGGTGGTCTCTTGTCTTTCACGCTCCTGGGCCTTAGGGTGCACTGAGCTACGCAAGGAATGTTGTTTAACCCCCCTGCTTTGCATACGTGGGCACATGGATGCTTACTCCCCGTAAGGTTCTAACTGGATGGCGGATTCTTCTTCCCTTCCAGTCCGAAGGTGCTGTGCTACTTGGCCGAGTGTTGCGTTCCACCCATGAGCCAGCTGCACATCATGGGGTGCGACGTGACCACCGACGAGTCCTTCCCTTGATCTCCTGGGAGGCGAGGGACGTGAGACGTCAGGTGTGGGGGGCAGTAGAGGAAGGGCTGCGTGAGGCTGTGCTGGGGTCCCACCCAGGTCTAACCACGCGCTGGTGTCATTCCAGGTGATCACCCCTACGAGTGCGAATTCTGTGGCAGCTGCTTCCGGGACGAGAGCACGTTGAAAGGCCATAAGCGCATCCACACTGGAGAGAAACCATACGAGTGCAACGGCTGTGGCAAGAAGTTCAGCCTCAAGCACCAGCTGGAGACCCACTACAGGGTGCACACAGGTACCACCCCCTCCGGGCATCCCTCACAGCCTTTGCAGCGCGTGAGTGAGCCGTGCCTGCAGCCACGCCAGCCTGGGCTGTGATCCCCTTCGGCCTCACACGCTAGCCAGGCTCAGCTGGGTGTCCTCTGTGGAACAGCCAGGGTGGCAGGGAGGGGCTCGGGAGGGAGGGTCGACCCCAGAGCCAGTACAGTGGTGTGGTGGGACGTCCCAGCATTCAGACGAGCTTTCACCGTGGCTCTCTGCCCTGGAATTGGGGCGTTCGTTCCTGCGCCCTGACCGAGTTCTGTGCTGGCAGTTGCAGCTTCTGCCGAATAAGGTATCTTCACTTCTTGCCGGGCCCTGGGTACTGTTGGAGCTGCTGGGCCCCAGGCCAGGGCAGGGTGATGAGATGCCTGGGTCTAGCTGAAGTATCACTCCCGGATCCGTAGAGACCAAAGGTGCAGTAGGAGTCACTAGGGCTTGCCTGGGCGTTTGACAGCTGAGGGGCGGGCAAAGTTGGGACAATTGAAAATACACCTGAGACTTTCCACTTCTTTGCTACCGCTCCCATCTCCATCCCCCTGAGCCACCAGCCCCTTCTCCAAATGATTCCTTCCCCTGGGCCAGCCAAACAAGAGCTGTGCAGGCATCACAGGCAGGCTGGGAAGGAATAGGGCAGGCTCCTTATCCTATTGAAATTATTTGGGCCAATTAGTAACAATTCCCCTCATCTCCCTCTGGAGAGAGAATAAAGGGAGCTAAGCAGTGCTGCTCCCTCTTCCTGCGTCTACTGTACGCAGGCGCTGACCTGGCTGCCATGCCGAAGCGGTCAAATGGTGCATTTCCAGCCACCATCTGCCTTGTATGTGGGGCAGCTCAGAAGGCGCTGAAGAGGGACCGCAGACCTCTTTCGCCTCTGTCATTGGACCATGTGGTTAGTGTGACTGCACATTTGCTCCATTCACAGTTCTTCCTCAGCTTTCCCCGCCTCTTGCCTGACGGATCCAGAGAAGAACAACAAACATGATTAAAATGGGCTTGTTTCGTTTGGAAATGAGAAGACTGAGGGGAACATGAGAGCAGTTTTCAAGTACCTAAAAGGATGCTACAAGGAGGAGGGAGAAAAATTATCCTCCTTGGCCTCTAATGATAGGACAAGAAGCAATGGACTTAAATTGCAGCAAGGGTGGGGGTTAGATTGGGCATTATGAAAAACTTCCAAATTTTCAGGGTGCTTAAACACAGCAATAAGTTGCCTAGGGAGGTTGTGGAATCTCCATCTCTGGAGGTATTTAAGAGCAGGTTGGACAAGCATCTATCAGGGATGGTCTAGATGGTGGTTGGTCCTGCTGTGTGGGCCGGGGGTCAGACTCGATGACCTCTCGAGGTCCCTTCCAGTTCTAGTGTTCTAGGATTCTTCAAGGTGTTTATTCTCCCTGAGCCTGTGCGAGAGAATGACCCATTCTGCGGAGAGCTAAAACGTAAGGAGGTTAAATCAGTCACTCCAGGAGTCTGCTGGAAAGCGGAGAATTGAACCTGGATCTCTCTCACTTCCAGAGAGTTCCCAGAATCCTGGGCCATCCTTCCTGGTTATAGCCTCCGGCCATGGGGAGGGGAAAAAGATGATTTTCAGGCATTACAGGCTGTGTGGCCTAGAGGACAAGGCACTGAATTTGGGACTCGAGAGCAGGATTCTAAATCCCAGCACTTCCACTGGTTTCTCTATGCCTCAGTTCCCCCTTCTGTGCAGTGGGGGATAATGATGTTGATATTCTCTTTGAAGCACGTGGAGACTTACAGATGAAAAATTCTATATAAGCTCTATGCATTTTGTAGCCAGCCCCACTGCACGTTTTTAAATCAACCTGAATGGGGCAGGCATTCTGACCCAGTGTGCTATAAACCTGGGGAATTCATTGCCACAAGATACTGGGGTTAGCAGGTTCAGCCGCCCCTCCCCCAAAGATTGGGCCTTTACATGAACAAAACACCCATGCCTTGTGAAAGATTTTTTTTTTTTTTAAAGCACAAAAATTTTGGGAGAGCTAAAACCTGCAGCTGCTTCAGGACATGAGCCCAACTCTGGCTTATAGGGGTCAGGAAGTAACTTCTCCCATCAAGGTATCCCGTCACTGCGGTATTTCTTTCACCTTCCACTCAAGCAGCTGGAGCTGTACCCCGTTGGGGACAGGATGCTGGCTAGATGGACCTGGGTCTGATAACGGCTGCGTTCCCCAGTGCTACTGAGAAACTCCTCTCGGCTCCAGCTCAATTGTCCTCCTTTTTCAGTTATTCCATCTCCGCCAAAGCCTGTGAGTCGCATAGGAGGCTGGAGCTGAGATTTCAGGGGCTTGTTTTGATGCAGTAATTAACTGCCTGGCCTTCCTGATATTGATACTTGCTCTGTGCACAGACACAGCGAATAATGAAGTAATGAACAGCAAAAGTGATCTAAATATTGATCCACTATTTACAATAGTTACATGCTGATGCATTCAGTGATTCATCTTCCCCAGCAACCACCCTGGATTTCTAAGGAATTGGAGCAGCTTTTCCACAGCAAATGCCCATGATTCCAGCAGCTTTTGGGTGCGGGAAATAAGGAAGGGTTTAATGCGCAAGGCCTAGCCCAGAATGCTGGATGAAAACCCCCAAGGGAGAAGAAAACTCTCTAGTGTCCAGACTTGCAGCTGCCCTGAAACTTCAACTTCAACTTCAGCTCCCACTTGGAGCTAGCATTCGGCCTAGTAAGAGGGACCTCGTTTAGCCACTCCTAGCACCTACCTGCCAGCCCAGGGATAGCTCTGCTGAAAATGGGGGTCCCTTCCAGTTCCGTCTCCCTGCCTCTTCCAGTGACTAGAGTGTCCCCATCTTGTCTGAGGCACTGTACATCGCTGGCTGGGCTTCCAAGGTGCTTAAACTCCCGCAGCTCCCTGTGGGATGGAGGTCTTGCTTATGTGGGAATGGATCCTGGGACTTTTATCCCCCTGCTCTTGCTGCTCACATGGACCAGCCACTTCATTGTGATACACTATCCCAGATGTCCTACCAGGATCATAGAATGCTGGAATGGGAAGGGGCCTCGAGAATATTGTGTCCAGTTCTGGGCCCCCTACTACAGAAAGGATGTGGACACATTGGAGAGGGTCCAGCAGACGGCAACCAAAATGATGAGGGGGCTGGAGAACTTGACCTACCGGGAGAGACTGAGGGATTTGGGCTTATTTAGTCTGCAGAAGAGAAGAGTGAGGGGGGATTTGATAGCAGCCTTCAACTTCCTTCAAAGCAAACATGATTCTGGGCTGCATTAACAGGTGTGTTGTGAGCAAGACACGAGAAGGCATTCTTCCACTCTACTCTGTGCTAGTTAGGCCTCAGTTGGAGTATTGTGTCCAGTTCTGGGCACCGCATTTCAAGAAAGATGTGGAGAAATTGGACAGGGTCCAGAGAAGAGCAACAAGAATGATTAAAGGTTTAGAGAACATGACCTAGGAAGGAAGGCTGAAAAAATTGGATTTGTTTAGTTTAGAAAAAAGACTGAGGGGGGACATGAGAGCAGTTTTCAGATATCTAAAAGGGGGTCATAAGGAGGAGGGAGAAAACTTGTTCATCTTGGCCTCTGAAGATAGAACAAGACGCAATGGGCTTAAACTGTAGCAAGAGAGGTTTAGGTTGGACATTAGGAAAAAGTTCCTAACTGTCAGGGTGGTCAAACACTGGAATAAATTGCCCAGGGAGGTTGTGGAATCCCCATCTCTGGAGATATTTAAGAGCAGGTTAGATAAATGTCTATCAGAGATGGTCTAGACAGTATTTGGTCCTGTCATGAGGGTAGGGGACTGGACTCGATGACTCTCGAGGTCCCTTCCAGTCCTAATATTCTATGTGTAACCCCCTTTTTCCTCCCTAGGTTACTCGGGAGCAGGTCACACTCACAGGTGTGCCTGGGCGCCTGGTGTTTTAACCCAAAAGAGATCCTGAGCACCCCAGTGGTGATGGTGTTTAGCTGGGGAAAGCCCTGTCCACCCCCTTGCTGCAGTCCCTTGCTGGCAATGAATGTACAATGGCGGTGCCTCCACCTGGCTGGCCTTGTACACCCACTGGTGCCTTGAGAGCCTCCAGGAATATCCTCATTCCAACATAAAGCTGGATCTAATTCCAGAACCACTACAAATCATAGACATCTAATAGAATACTTTAAAATAAACCATCTTTACTTAACTAAACAGGGATTAACAGATTAGCAAGGAACAGCATTAACAAAACACATAACAGTAACTGAAGCTTATATAGCTAGACAACAGTGACTCCACCCCAGAGTGTGCACACCCCTAGACTCAGTCCCAGACACTTGCGTTGGCGCTGATGTTGCAGCTGTAGTGAGGGTTTGGTCCAGGCTGAACAGCAGCTCTGTCCCAGGCAGCACTCTTCCCGCGGGAGAAGAGCAACTTAAGCTAATGGACAATGCTGGCACAAGAACCAAAGAGCATAAACTGGCCAGGAGTAATTTAGGCTGCAAAGTAGGTTTTGAACCATTATTACAGTGTAGGACTGGAAGGGACATCAGTAGATCATCTAGTCCAGTCCCCTGCACAAAAGGACGCACCAGTGACGTGATCCCTGGCAGGTGTTTGTCTAACCTGTTCTTAAATATCTCTCACGATGGAGATTCCACAGCCTCCCTTCTGTCTTCTCTTCTCCAGACTAAACAAGCCTCTTTCAGCGGTCATCATGTCCAGTCCCCTGACCTCACGGCAGGACAAGCACCAGTGACGTGATCCCTGGCAGGTGTTTGTCTAACCTGTTCTTAAATATCTCTCACGATGGAGATTCCACAGCCTCCCTTCTGTCTTCTCTTCTCCAGACTAAACAAGCCTCTTTCAGCCTTCCCTCATTGCTCATGTTCTCTAGACCTTTCATCATTCTTGTTGCTCTTCTCTGGCCCTTCTCCAGTTTTGCCACGTCTTTCCTGATACGTGGCGCCCAGAAACGGACACGCGACTCCAGCCTAATCAGCCCTAATACTCAGAGTTGTTGACTCGATTCCCACGACTTGAACTCGAGTCCAACTTAAGTCATCGAGGTGACTAAACTTGAGACTCGACTCGGGTTCATTGTTTGTGACTTGAGACTCGACTTGAGAGTTCCTAATTTTGTTAAATTGACTTGGTCCAAAAATGCCGATATTGATGTCTTGTACAAAAGTGACTTGACATTTTTTAAATTAAGACTTGAGACTTGACTTGGGACTTGACTCGAAAGTGACTTTAGGGACTCGAGACTCGACTTGAGACTTGAACTGTAGTGATTTGAGACTCGACTTGGAATTGACAATGGCGACTTGAAGACAACACTGCTAATACTGCAGCGGCGGGCGGCCGTGGAAGTATCGCAGACAAGTCGGCGTGGCTGCTGCTTCACTCTTCTGTTCTCTCTCTCTCTTTCTGCCAGGTGAAAAGCCTTTTGAATGCAAGCTGTGTCACCAGCGGTCCCGAGATTACTCCGCCATGATCAAACATCTCAGGACCCACAACGGCGCTTCTCCCTACCAGTGCACTATCTGCCTGGAGTATTGTCCTAGCCTGTCTGCCATGCAGAAACATATGAAGGGCCACAAGCCAGAGGAGATCCCCACCGACTGGAGGATAGAGAAGACCTATCTCTACCTTTGCTATGTTTAAGGGACATGGAGGAGGGGGAGATTTAAGTCAGGAAGGACTGGGCAAAAAAATGCATCATCCATGGCCTTTTAATTCTGTTGTGTACTGAAAGGGTTCTCCGCTTTTGTTTCTGGCTTGTGAGGTGTTTGTACGGGGGAGGGGGGAATGATTCCCTCTTTTACTTTGTGTGTTCTCCGTGCAGTCGGTGAGACAACACCTCCGAATCGAGCCACAGCCAAATATCTGTCGTGTTTTGTGACTACGCACGCCAAGGGCTTCGGAAAAGAGCAGGTGAAATGACACTCTGGGGAAGGGGAGGGTCCGTCCAGGGCAGGCTTTAGGGTCTGAGATGGTGGGAGGTTTTCCTTTCCAGGTTTGACTTTCTCCCCCTTGATTTTTGCCACGTACGTTGAATTTGCTCAGGCCCTGTGTACATTTCAAATGGCCGCCTCCCGAGGTTGCGTAGGGCTGTGAAAAACGTTGCACCCCGAATGTTGTGGGGAGAGGGACCTGGCCTGAGGTGTGGAGGTGGCTAGGTTGGCAGGATTCGTCTCTCAGAGAGATGGATTGAGTATGGCGGGAAAACCCCTTGTACGACGGCACGGCAGTGCTGTTCCAGCCACTGTGATGTAGACATGTACTCAGGCACCTCCCTTCATTCAGCTGCCTCCTGAACAACCTCCCCAGTCGGTGGCAGTATAATGCCTGTCATTAAGACCCCCCCTCGGGGAGTTCCCCTGCAAATTAGCTCAGACGTCCCTGTTTGGGATACCCAGACATATGTCCTAGCCAGGGCAGATGATGTGCAGCGTGGCAGGCGGGTGACTGGAAGTTTGCTAGTTGCGCTAACGATGTGGCAGGCCGTGTTGCCGTCGAGGTTTCCAGTTGCTAGTGGCTTGGGAAGCCCCGTGAGGTTTTGGGTTTTTTTTTTCCTGCCTGCCCAACTGGAGACACCCTGAATTTCAGAACATGCTGATCACCCTTGCGTGGTGTCTCCCGTCGGGCATGCGGAATTCCTAGTCCATCTGGCACAGCTTGGCGGAAGTGAAGGGCACCACCAGAATTTTCCTCAGGGCCTGAGTGCAAGGAGGCCTTCCCAGCAGGGCGCCCGTGCCAGGTGGACTGCAGGTGCCCGGTGGGTACAGCGCAGTTCAGGGCGGGGCATGGTTCTCAGAGAGCACCCGGGAAGGAAGCAATAGAATGTGCCATCCTGGGCCATCCTAGAGCTGGGGCAGGATGCAGCCCAGATAGCCACAGGGGGTGCCATGCTGCCCATGGGCCTCCTGTGCCCCCGTTCCCTGTGAAAAGACCATGCCGCATGATGGAAGTCCCCCTTCCCTCAGGTTGAGATGTGCTGGGCCTCCTCTCCCAGCCAGCAACACCAGGACTGAGGGGTGGGGATGCAGGTGCCTCACCCATTACCTCCTGGGTGGGAGGCTTGTCCCTGGCCACAGAGTTACTCTGCCCTGCTCTGACATGCAAGGGAGAAGGCTGCTGGGTCCCTGCTCCGTTCCAGCTAAGAGAAGGCTGTTCCATATCACACCCTATGGGCATAAGTAAAACAAATCTGAACTCGGCTAGAAGGTGTTTCCCCCTCTGCCCCTTGGGCTGCCGTGTTTCCGATGGCAACGAGATTCCTGGAAATGTTTCCAGGTTATTCATGACATCTGAAAACAAAACTAAACCTGTTTTGGAGAAAATGAATTTGAAGAAAAAATCACCTGGAAGGAAACTATTCTAAATAACTGCAGTGATGGAATTGAAGTGTGCCCAGGACGGCCTGCATGCCTGGTAGTGGGAAGCAGGCTGGGGAGTTAGACTAGGATATAATTATCCTGCTGCATAGGACAGGCAGGGTGACTTCTCAGCCTCGCGTGGAGGATGCAGTCAGAGAGCCCCCCCTCGATCACGCTCCTCAATTAGCAAAGTTGTGGTTGCGTTGTCACTTAGTCCGATGGGATGCTGACAGCTCTTGAGCCTCTTCTTCATGCACAGAAAGTTGCAGTGGATGTTTTGATCAATGGTCGCTACTCCTCTGACAGCCAAGTAGTGCTGCCGGGAATACCACTATAATCCAAGCTACTTGGGTTTTTTAGGCGGAAGCCAGTCTGTTCCAGAACTTACAACTTGGCTCTAAAAATTGCCTCTAGGCTGCGACCCTCTCTCCTGACCAAAGACCTTTCTGTGCATGTGTTTCATTCTTTTTGGCTTGTTCTTGAGGGGAAGGAGTTAGAACCAGATGGAAAGGGCAAATCTTCCAGCCGGTTTGTCAAATCCCAGCGATTGGACAAGCGTGTCTTCAAATGCTCTTCAACTGCCCCCTAGTGCCTGGGTATTGTCAGGGGTCTGAAGGAATGATGGCCGAGCTTGTATCTGCTCCTCTTGCAAACACATGCAGTATATCTCCTGGCTTGCAGTGCGGCGCAGCGACTCAGGCTGGCTAAATGCTTACCTGTCCGTTTGACCTAAATTTGTCCGATTTTGAAGAATGGGGAGTAATTCACAAGTTCAGGTGTCGGATTTTGTATGTATCATGCTGCTGGGTCGCTCACTTTTTTGTCTCTGCTGATGCCACGCCTAGCAATTCAATGGTATTCTTTTTTTAAAGCAAGAGCCCTTTAGAAATCATCCTTGTTCTGACTGCAGAGGCTTTGCTCTGAATGGGTAAATTCATTTGGTTTTGGTTTCCCCCCCCCCGTTCCAAAACAAGATCATAGAAATTAATTTTTTTGCCCAGCCCTCTGTCCAGGAAGCTATGAAGGAGCGAATGGTTAAAAGATGGCTTTTCTTTGTGTATGACTTTGGGGTTTTATTGTCTTTGTTTTAATTTTGAATATTTCTATTTAGCACATTTTACTTGAAATTACCTCGTTTTTTTTGTGACCTCATGAGCTTTTATTGTTGGGTTGGAGTTTTTTTGGGTTTTTTAATAAATGAACAGGTTGTTCAAAAGGCCATGCCGCAGATCGGTGACGTGCGGTATACGAATCGCGTGCTCGATGAGAGTGCAAAAGTGCCATGGCAGCCGCAAAAGCAATTTTACGGTGTTTTTTGTGCATTATCATTACCAAAATTGGTATTTTTTTCACGGCCGGCCTTGACGGAGCTGGGGTCGTTGATTCTGAAAGCTACCTCTTGTGTTTTGGTTTTTGTTTTTATTTTGCAGTTATGAAAAGCACATTTTGCAATATTTGTGTTCGCTTTGTGATGTCATTTCAATCTTCATCTCATGCTTTACTTGCAATTGTATATTATGTTGTAATTTAGCTGCATTTATATTAAACAAAAAAAGTTAGGGAAGTATTTTGTAGATGGAAGTAAAGGGAAAAAAAGAGGGGTATTATACTGCTGTGCCCACCCTATCCCCTACCTTGTCTCAACTGTCGGGAAAAAAATTGAAGGCCTTAAAACTGGGGGAAATAATTTCATGTGACAGTGGAGCAAGGTAACTTAAGGTTTAGTGAAGATTTAGTGCTTTGAAAAGGAAAGAGTTAAACTTGAATATGTGAATAGAACAGTAGAGTCTTGTTTATAATGTGAAAAATGTGAGTATAAAATCACTTCGGGCAGAACTCAGAGAAATAAATATGCACTAACGCATCAATTTTGCGTTAGCCAGCGATGGCCATGAGATAATCTCCATCTCAAAACTAAAACTGATGTCAAAAATGTTTAAGGTGTTCCACAAAATTAACCCATTCTTCCCATCCACCCTGGCCCCCATTCACCGAGCTGAAAGGGTTGAACTGATATTTACAAAGTGTAATATTTTTGTAATATTTGTTAGTCCCTGTGTCGGTTTCCACAGGACCTTGCCCTTCCTTTTGTAATGTGAACAGGAATTGTGTGTGCGTGTGCGTGCGTGTGCGTGTGTATGCTTTTTGTGCGTGCGGTTGTGTATTAAATCATGCAGTATTGTTGTAATCCAGTGTTGCAGCCTTGGATGGTACTAAATCAAACTCATGCAGCTTCAAAATCACATGCAGGAAATGTATGCAAACGTGCTTGTCAAGTGCAGATTGCTTCCATCTGCTAAGACTCGAGGTGGAGGGAAGGGGGAGGGTGGGACAGGCAGGACTGTAGATGTTGGTGATTTAACAATAATTTCTTTTTATTGTTTGGAGTTTCGCTACTCCTGGGAAACCATCATCTGTGTTTACTGTTCACAGCAGAGAAGCAAATTCTTCCTCAACCCGCCAATCTAAAAGATATTATTTGCTGTTGAATGTTGGGATGCGTGTCCAGTGACTCAGTGGCACACCACAAACACACACACACACACACACAAGTAGACAGGGCTACAGGCTTAATATGGGGCTCAGGCAAACATAAGCAGGTCTAGAATTAGGAGGGATCTATCCGTGTTCTCCCTTCACTACCCCTTCCATTAGAGAGCGCAGTCTTACAGGGTGGGGGGTAGTATAGCGTGCAGTTTCACCTTCAGATCAACATCGCTTCTTTGCGCTGTTGGTCAGTTGGATAATTCGGTTACCATTATGAGCACTGCTCACTACAGTATATCGTTCTTTGTGAATTCGAATGGAAACGGCTTTACATGGTTCTATCGACACGTTTTTCCAGATGCAAAGCAGAAAGCTGGTTGTACACTCACACGTTACGCTGTTCACATCATCTATTTTGAACTTACACCTGGCTGTGTCTGATATCATTTTGGGAATAATATCAGTGTTGTCTCTCAACTCACAGCATTAAGACCCTTTTTATGCATTTTATATATATATATATATATATATATATATATACATGCATACATACATGATATTTTTTGCACACGTTTGCATGTATATTGTGATAGATCCAGGGCAGCTGGCTACAATAGTCTGGTGTAGAGCAGATGTCCCGGGAGCTGGGTGAATGGTTTTCTGTTTCCTGAATTAACTGCCAGAGACTGCTGTCATGTAATCAAGGCAGGCAGGTACCTGAAGCTAATTAAGAGCTTGCCTGAAGCAGGCAGTTAATTAGGCACCTGCAGACAATTATGGCCTGCTGGACTACTTTAAAAGGTTTCCCCTCAGGTAAGAGAGGAGAGAAGGAAGGAGAAGAGTTAAGGACTCAGAGGTAGAAATGGGTTACTGGAGAGCTGAGTCTTTTGCTGCTTTGTGTGGGGAAGGGGAAGCAGGATAGATGCTGATTTAGTATGATCCAGGATGCAACTCTGGAGAAAGGCTTGTTGAATCTTTGTGCCTGGAAACAGTTTTTTCACACTTAAAAGAAAAAAAAATTGCTGCGATTTCTTACAAGTATATGGTACCTTTTGGCAGTAAATTGGTACTGCTGGCTGGAGGGGGCGTGTCATGGGACAATGGAACAAACTACTAATTTTCCAGCTTGATTTATTTTCCACTGGAGGACCCTCTCCTCCTCCCATCCTAGGTGTTGGCACATTTTGACTTCACCACCAGCTGGTTTTCTACCAGACCCAAAAAGTGTCCAATCGGGTCACTGGGATGTTCTAAATGTAAAGGCCAGAAATTTTGTGGAGTGAAAACTCCTCAGGCAAGATGAGAACATATTAATTGTTCACTCTTCTCGTGTCTTGTTCTCCCCTTGTCCCCTCTTCCCCTACCCGTGCATTGGAACATCTGCTTCTGTGACCGTCCTTCCAAGACTGCTTTAACCATAGCACAGAAAAGAGGTTGGAAAAAAAAAAAAGGCAGCAAATTCACCTCCAACATACAACTTTCAGATATCATTCCAATGATTGTGGCTGATGAGAAGTCTCTGGTCCCATGACAACCTTCCATGCAGCGTACCAGACTTTTGATGTGCATCATAGTATTTGTTTCACATAGTGTTACGTATGCATGATCTTCTAAGGCTAAGAAGCCATGGTAAAGCTCCATGACTTCTATCCATATATATATATAATTATATATATGTATATTATAGCACTGAGGACCAACTGCCCTGCTGGACCAAGCAAACGAAGGCTTGTTTTCATTGCTTGTCTTTTATGTCGTGACAGCACAAGTGCCAGTCAGATTGCTCTGTATTAAAAATAGTGTTTTTAATTAATTGATGTTATAGTTCTGTCTACCTCAGCACCTCCTGTTAGCCTAATTTTAGAAGGTGCCCAATTTTTTTGTTGTTGTTGGTTTTTTTCAGATTATTGGTTACTATTTTTTGTACAAATCTGTTGTTTTCTCGTTCTGTTCGTTTCTTTTGCAGCACTGCTTGTGAGTCTGTTCTCTAGCCACAGATGCAGTTAGCGAAAAATGTAAAAAGGAAAAAAAAATCCCAAAATTGTGATGTCTCCTAGTTGCAGCTCTCCGCATCTGCCTTCATTCTGTGTAGATTCAGATGCATTTCTTTGTTAAACTTCAGTGTTTCTGACAGAGGAAAAGAAAAAAAGAAAAAAAAAGAATTTACTGCTGCAGGTTTTTTTTCTCTCCATGTGTCACTAAGTGAAGTTCGTGCCTTCTATAGCAAAGAGAATATTTTTTACATCCTACTAACAGTAGATTTTTTTGTAGTGAACATTTTTTGTATTTTTATTTATAAGTCTCATAAGAAAAATAGCAATGTTCAGTTGTATACCTTGAATCTGCAGTTAGAAAAAAATAATAAAGTTAATTCAGTCGTCTCTGCCTGCTGTCTCCTCCTCCTATTCTTTACTCGGATGTTTCTCTGGCCAGGAAGAGAAGAAATCCATTGCATGAGCTAAAACCTTACCTGATCCCCATTGAACAGGACTGAAATAAGGGACAGGATTGGAAGGCTGATGCGATTTCCATACAAATGGCCTTCACTTTCCAGAGAGTGCAGGAGAGATTTTTGTTTTTTCCTTATACCAGCAGATGTCAGCCTCAAACAGAGCTAAAGTTGGCAGCTGGAACTACTGCTAGCTCCCTTTTCAACTAGCTGAGATAGTATGTGAATGACCTTAAGGGCTCTTCCCTGACCCAAGTGTTTCCGATATAACAATCGCCATGAATCATTTCAAGTCAACTCAATTCGAGAAATGATAGTTGGGTCTCCGATTTCATTTCTGGTCACCCACATGTTCACTGTACTATGTGTGTGGCCACTTAAAACTTCTTCCCATTTCCTGGGTGGAAAAACTGAGTCTCTCTCACTGCCTAAGCCAAGATTTTCCAGAGCTGCCAATGATCTCCTTTTTGGGGGCTGCCCAATATGAGATGCTTTTTAAAAGGGCCTGGTTTTCCCCAATGTTCTGTGCACGCCCCCTTGTGTTTCACGATGGGTGCCATAAATTGGGTTAGAAGTCTTGGCCCATACAATTTGCCCAGAGCCTTGAAGAAAGCACAGGTGGGTCAGACACAGAGTAAGGCAGAGCAGAGAATGGGTGCGTTTCCTGTTGCCGAATCTGGGAGCTTCCGCTCAACCTGTAGCAGCTCCAGCATTTAGTTTGGAAGGTGAATTCCTGGTGCATCAGCTAACACGGTAGCCATTCCTAATGTTTCTCTCCATTGCTATGAAAGCATGCCCCACAGCTGCAGAGAAGATGGCTTACCACACACAGCGGGTGCAGCTGTTCAAACCATAGAGATACCTTGACCACCCATCCAGGTCGGAGAACGAGGATCAACTCGTGATCAAAATCACCGTGGTTTTATCTTACAGTAAAACAGAGCTGGCAGGTTATTCTCTGATGTAACTACCTGAACAGTGACGTTACCATGGCAATTAACAGTACTAATTGCACCAGGCATCAGCCCCTGCCAATGCACTGAAACAGAGCAGGTCTTCGGTTCTAAGGTTCTTGAGCATCACTCATGGATCACGAGCAGCTAGCAGGTTCCACCAGCATCAGCCTCCATGGAGCCAAGGGTTGCCCCAGAGTCACTGAGGGTTCCTGCCCCAATGAGCTCACCGTCTAAGACTTGACTTCCCTCTCCTTTGCTCCATCGCCGTGTCCCACAGGGCTCGGAGCAGCCGGGTGGATGCTACCCGCTCTCCTAGACAGAAGGCCGGCTGCAATGCGGGCCAGGTTGGTGAGGAGGAGCAAAAAGAAGCTGCTGAACTTCTGTGTGGTGAAATGCTAACTGTCCCTCCTCCCTTGCAAATGAAGGTGAAGGACCATTTAAAAACATATGGGCGCACGCCTTCATCTGGCCCTGGGGGCTCAGCTTCGTAGGTCCAAGAGGCCAGGGCTGTAGGAGGGGAGGGGGGAACCTCCCCTCACAGCACAGCCTGTGCCCTGGGTCCATGGGCGGCTCGTTTTTGGGGCTGCGTCCATGGGAGCTGCTGCTGCTGACGCCTTGCCGCCCGGGTTCCCTGTGAGCTGGGCACTTGGGTAGCTGCTCAGGAGAGATTCCAGTGCGGCCCCGCTACTGAGCAGCGTGCCCACAGCTTGGTTTTTTGTGTCTACTGGTGGTGCACATTTGCACGCGCCTCGGTGCCCATACAAATTTATTCCGCACTGGAATGGGGGGAAAAAAATCCACACGTGGATGGAAAAGAGGAGAGGGACCATTGCTTGTCACCTCTGATATTGTGGTTCCTTTGGGGTCTTGAGTGCTGGAAGGCGGCCGAAGCACACTTGTTTGTCTCAAAGGGCTAGTGCGTGCTTCTATGGGGAGGGGGTTTCTTTTGCAATCACCACCCCCTCCAGCCTTGGCTCAGCTTTCTCTGCAGCCCCTTCCAGCGGGCCAAGTGCGTATCTCCGATGCACGCTTCCAGCCCGAGCTTTCTCTTGACAGATGGGAGGGGAGGGAGATTTCCGTCTTTAAAACAACATTTAATAGCAGTTTTCTGCTAACGGACATCAAAGCAGAGGCTTAGGTGCTCCGGGTGGGTCATGTGCCCCATGGATATGGGTGAGAAGAGGTGAGTGAATAGCGACCCTGCTGAATAGGCTTTGTGTGACAGTGAGGGCTTCCCATCCTTATGTGCTCTTTGACCCAGATATGATCTAATGGATAAAAAGGGGCCCTGACAGCATGAGCATGAAAAAGCTTTGTGCTCGTCATTGTCTCAGCGGCTGTGCAGGCAGTGGCCAGGCCCAGTCTGGGGCTGGGGGAGGGAATAGGGTTGCCAGGTGTCCGGTTTTGACCCACACAGTCGGGTATTTGAGCTTTCTGTCCGGGAAACAAATTGAGAAAATACCAGACGTAGAAATGTCCGGTCTTCTCTAATTACGTTTTATTATTATCATGAGTATCGGGACGTAGTTGCGAACTGCCTGGCTGGTCGACATGCTCACACTGCGTGAGCGTGTCTACCAACCGGGCAGCACACAACTATGCAGTAGAGAGAAGTGGGGGTGGGGCGGGATGGAATCCCCAGGGCCAGACTCGCTCA